ATATCCCCACTCTATTTCTCCAGTCAAAAAAGTCCTCCATTCTTCCATTTCATTTCTCTCCAATATCCTCACCTGTTTCCCTTGTCTTTTTCAAGCCGGAAAGTAGTGTAGTCTTTATCATTTCCTTCTCACACTAGACTTTACCCTTCTAGTCTTTATATATATCTACCTTTCCCCTCCCAACCTCATCCACCTTTGCTTCACTTTCCTACTTTCGCCTGAACAATTGTGGAAGAATATCCCAAAGAGAAACCAGAGCTACCAGAGGGGGTGGTGTTGAACTTTGAAACAGAGCTTCAAGTTAAGGCGGAGTCGTTGGACTCCAAGGAGGAAATATTCCCATCATTTGCTTTCCCTTACGCTTCAGCTGTATCGGAGGAAGTCGGAAACGATATTTTCCCCGAATCCATGGTGGATAATAACCTAATGGGTAGCTTTTCCCCTGCTTTTATATCTCCGGCCACTTCCGAATCCAATTACTTCTCAGTGTCGCCGTGCGACATGGGTAGCTTCGGGATAAGACAGTCGTCGGAATCTGATCTTGCAGAGATAATTTCCGGACCACTGGCTTCGGTGCCCAATTCACCAATCGGAGACTTTGATTTCACAGTCCTACTGGACACAAGTTTCTCATTCAACAATCTTGATTGCTTTTCTTGATAAAAGAATTTTACTTTCTGTTTGATGAAGACAGAAAACTAATAGATAATATTACAAATTGCGACTTGATATCTGATTCCAGCCAGCATTCGAAGAGACTCTGGGGCATATTCAGAAAGGTTGTCATCGGAAAGCGTTGTACCAAAGGTCCTCATATGGATGCTGGGCTTGGGAATTTTACTTTCCCCAAGTAGTTCATATATTTTTTTTTCCCCTTTTTTTTTAGGCTTGGGTTGTGTGTTGTAACTTGTAACATAATCTATGACAAAGTTGTCATTTTCATCCTAGTATAATTAATGTTTTAATTTTTGAGTTGCAATGCTTTTAGGCGGCAATTGGGATTTTGCAGTGTAGGGTTATAGAATAGTTATGGCTTTTCTTATGTTGTGAAATTACAAAAATTAGGTGTTTTCTTTCTTATAATTATTTTTGTAAAGTAT